ATCCTTTAGTAATCTGATTTATGAGTGTAGAGAACCATGGTTTGCCGCTCATGATCTTCTGTTTACATATTAGAGTAGATGCTCTGGGCATACTATTTTGATAAAAATATTTAAGATTATTAAACAATTGTGTCTAATAATAATAGCATCACTAAAAATAGAATATTTTAGTGTTTCTAAAATTTATCTCTATCAGCATTCTGAACTTATCAGCACTGATATCCAGTTAATTTAGTCATTGTCTTATGGTTTTAGTTTGTCCAAATACAAATGGATTTTAAAATTGACACTTCATTTTGTCTATGTATACCTGTATGGGTCACAGTGTATTGTGGGGGTTAAAGTGCAAGTTGCAAGAATTGGTTCTCTCCTTCTACCATTGATGAGGCTTCAGAGATCTAACTCAGATATTCTGGTCTGATGGCAAGTTCCTTACCCTGCTGAAACATCTTGTTGGTCCACTCGTGAAATTTAAAACAATCTAACACACTCCAGAAGAAGATGGCTTTGATAATTTGTTTGATGTTAGGAAACATACACAGAATCTAAGGGTAAACACATCAACACTCTTGTCATGAGAAGCAAACTGAAGAAGAAATGTTGTAGGGAGGGGGCCCTTTTGTTCTGACCCGGCTGCCCGGCTAGCTTACACCCGAAATAATCAAACAGAAATGGTATTCATTTAAACACTGCCTGGCCCATTATCTCTAGCCTCCTATTGACTAACTTTCACTTCTTGATTTAACCCGTTTCTACTAATCTATGTTTACCATAAGGTCGTGGCTTACCGGGAAAGATTTAGCATGTCTGACCTGGTGTCTCCATGGCAGCTCTCCCTCTCTGACTCTGCTTTCTTCCTCTTAGAATTCAGTTCTGTCTTCTCTACCTACATAAGTTCTGCCCTATCAGGCCAAGCAGTTTCTTTATTGATTAACCAATGAAAACAATACATAAACAGAAGGACATCCTATACCAAAGAAAATTTATTTATAGTGTAATCTTAGCACCCAGGATCTATCTTTGGAAGTCCCCTCCCCTGAGTCCACCAAACCTTGACCCCTCCCCAAGAAAGCTCAAGATCACTACCGCAGGCTATTTTTAAACTGCCTCCCAGAGAATAAACACGTGATCTTTCCTCTTCCTCTCTGTTGGTTCTGTCGGCTTTCAGTCCCCCACCCCCATCCCTACCCCCTCAAGCCAACCCTAGAGTACAGACATCCAATTAAACCTGGATGTTTTTTAATTTGGTATGATTTGGTCTGATTGGGATTCTTTGCATAAGTGGAGAGGCTCATTTTTAGGAATTATTTCTAACATTTTGGAGGTCCCGTGGAAAGGGGGGGCTGTTTTTTCCATGGGCTCAAGACTACATGTTGGAAAACAGCCCTTATGGCACGTGCTCTCCGCCAGGCTAAAATCAGCTTCCAGGCTAGACCAGCTTCGTCTCTGTGAGTCTCCCCTTTTTTTGGCTTTATGCTAGTAGGGTTAGGGTACCCATTTGTGTATGTTTTTGTACATTTTTGGACTTTCTGTTGAAGTCACAATTGCGCCATGAAACTCTAATCCAAGCCGTTAAGCCTGGCTTAGCTGAGGTGAGGTGAAAATTTTACCATTTTTACCATTCAATTTTCACAACCCCTTTGTGCCTCAAGAGTTGTCCCAGTGAAAGCTATATGACAGACTTGAGCCCCACAATTGGGCATAGACTTTTTTTAAGGCCAGGTCACGTGACAACACTCTCCCAGTTTTTACCGTGCCTTCTCACCCGGTTTTCACTAAAATCCTCCTGTTAACTCTCATACATATGGTTTGAGCAATGGCATGTCTCTGATAGGGCCCATCCAGAGTCATCCATGTTGCCCAATTCCTGTTTACTCTGTCTATGTATAATAATGGTTCATTACATCTTATTTCAGACTACAAAATCGTGAATCTCATATTTTAAACTGATATGTACCTTTAAGTCTCTTAAGCCATTCTTTACCATTGTCAGTTCTGCCACTAACCTTATATTATAAGCAGTTTTTTTTTTTTCCTTCTTTCTGCCTTTTTACAAATGTAAATCTTACCTGGAGCATTTTTTAAAAAAGAATATTACTTTTAAAATGGGTTCTTGCAACTCAAAGCCAGATCCATTATCGCCCCTGGGTTGCCTCCTACAAAATCTTTATAAATTTGGATTGTACAATACAATCTGTCCTAAATGACTAATTTCTCTACACATTAAGATTTGGCCTCATCAACCTTGACAATGGGAGAAAATGGCCACCAGAGGGAACTCTTGAGTTTTCCATCCTCTGGGACCTAGAAAATTTTTTGCCTCTGTGGGGATAAATGGACAGAACTCTCAAATGTCTATGGTTTCTGGGCACTGTGCTTTTGTCCCTCCCTCAGAAGCCAGAGTCCTGCATGACTGGTTCTGGTTGCCAGGGTCACAGAGCCTCCAAATTCCCAACCATCTGGGAATTGGGACCCAGAATGCTCTAAAGTGACCTGCAGCCAGAGACACTGCCAGCTAATCCCTCCAACCCTTACTACCCAACCCTCTCTGGAACAACATTCTCCAAATTCTTTTCCTTACCCACCCCCACCGACACCCTCCCCTGCCAAACCAGAAGTTCAAGGTCAATCAACTTTTCACCTTCCTCCCTTCCCCTCCCTCAGGCCTCAACCTACTTCTCCTGCAAGAGGCCCTTCTAACAGCCCCTGCTCTTGCTCTTCCAGACCCCATAAGACCTAGTTTAAAGAAATGTAAACGGATGAGTTGCGTTTCATGGGGAAAATACTAGAGAAATTTATTGACAAGTCCCAGACACTGATGTTGATGCCAAGACCAATGAGAATATCACGGAAATAAACTTGTATCTTTAAATACAAGGCACATTGTAGGAGAGACAAAAGGCCTATCTATGAGCTCAGATCTGCTAGCTAGGCATTGGACACCATCCTAATGACCTCACTTTGTGGTGACTGAATTCTTGTTTGTGAGACTTGATAAAAACAAAATAACATCATTGGATTGTTATTAAAATATATATGTTGAATGGGAAGAGCTAGGTACTATTTCATTATTGCTGTCAGTCTGAAATAAAGTTACTTCCATTGTAGAGAATGACAGGGAGTTTGGAATTTCTCTTAAGCTTGTGGCCAAGATAGATAGGACATATTGTTCTACCAGAGTGACAGTGTTTTGAGATGGAGATTCGAAGGGGGAAAGTTATTACCTAATATACAACCAAGAATCATGTTTCTATCTTATAAGTGGAACATACAGAGTGCAGACTTAAAATCAGTGTCTCTCCACACCCACTAATGACCAGGAAATAATAAACTGTAGCACTTGCCAAGCTCCATGCTGGTTCTATGATGCTGTGGCCCCTCTATTAACCCAGAGACATTAAAAAATTAATAAAAGCATGTACTTCTAATTAACTCACAAGCCAAACCACCGTGCAACTGGTCTAAGGAACCTACTCTCACACGAGGCACGTTCCAGACTCCAGACATTTCAATCAACTATATGGTTAGGATGGCCATTTTGAAGCATTTCTGCTTCAATTAAGGTTTTACAATTTTGTGATCAATTTTTTTAATTTATACATTTATGTATTTATGGCTCTTGTTGCTTTAATAACCAGAAAGTTGGATTCACTTATTCACTATAAAAAGAAGAAAACTATGAGGGAGCTGAAGGTAGAAAAAAGAAATAAGGTTGTAGCTTGTTAATGTCATAGTCCTTTTAACAATATCCTGTCCTTCCTTGTCACCCAATTTTACCCTCTCGATTTCCTGTCTGAATTATATCCTATAGTCACACTTACATAACTTTAATACATTCATGTATACACTGTAGGCCAGGATCCACATGTAAAATAAAACATGCTTGTTTTTCTTATTTTTTTTTCTTTTCGAGCTTGATTACTTACTTTAATATTGTAATTTTCAAGAGTATAATTTTCCTGAAGATTTAGTGATTTTATTTTGCTTTACAGCTGAGTAATATTCCATTATCTGTTGATGAGCATCTAGGTTGGTTTCATTTCCTTGCTATCAGGATGCCTTGGATATTTTCTGAAATCATAAGTTATGTAGAAATCCCTGGAATCTCTAATGTGTGGTAATGTCTCACATACAGAGGCATTCATATTTTGAGTGGATATAAAGTCATTTTTTTAAATTAAAAATATTTGAATAAGATTTATTTTATTTAAAATGAATGTATGCTTGCACATAAATGCAGCTGCCTTCAGAGACCAGAAGAGGGCCTGGATCCCCAAGAGCAGGAATTTTCACCAGCCTAATTCTGGGATCTGAACTCTTTGCAAAAAATCAGTACATTCTCATAAGAGCCATCTCTCCTGTCCTCACAGGGGAATCTTTAAAAATAAACAGATGGGTTGACAGCCTTTACTAAAAAACTGGGATCCACCTACAGTGGATTTGATATATAAAATATAAGTTCTTCTCAGAAGCGTCTGCTAAAACCTGTCAATGTCTTTGTAAAGATTTACTGGGCTTCTAAATCTGATCCATTGTGGGTTAAAGGTCACACACGTCTCTGTGTTTGTATTTCACTTGTCAGAAAAGTGAATGTTTCTTCAATGAGTGAAAACGGTTGTACTAGTATTGATCAATATGGCATAATGTAATGTTTTCAACAAAGAACAGTAAATGCCAAATTGGTAAGAATTTTCTTTCTTGTGAGAAGTTTTATTAGTTTGGCTGTTAGCAATTAAAATTTGTTTAATTTAAGATGGATAAGATGGTTTCTTTTGAAATGGTGATATCTCAGAGCACATATTGTATTGTTCATGCTTAACTTCCAAAGTTAACTATATCTGCATTGAGCTTGGCATGTAATTTGTGGATACAGTGTGTTTTTAATATAAACTTTGCAATAGTTAACTGTTCGGTTATTTGGAAATTTTTATGCTCACAGTGTATACATACGCATTTATTTCTCAGAAATAACATGGTACTTGTATCTAGCTACTTCTTACCCTATTGGAGTCAATTCTTGCTCTGGATGTGTAGATGGGAGGAGGGATGTTGAAAGCCTGGGGTACCAAGTATTCCTCAGCATCCATCATGTCTTCCAAATCTTCTTCATCCAAGAGATTCTGGAAGAATTTGCTGTCATTTGGACTGGGAAGCTTCATACGGTCATCACCCTGAAAGATTGCCCATTAGAAATATACAAATTATTATTCTTTCCTTCATAATATGTAGTTTCAATAGTAAGTTTATATAATAGAAAAATAATCAGCCAGCGAATCCCTGTGCTCATTATAAAGCATCTCTAGCTTAACTACAAACTAGAAAAACAAATGACATACTTTTGTTAGATATCAAAAGGTAAGGGATAGAATATAAGAAGAATGTAATTAATGCAGCAACAACAAGAATGAACTAGGGCTGGTGATGTGTGCATTTTAAGGGTGGTAAAATCCACTTTAGATCTGAGAGTAACATCTCACTGCTGAGGAGGTGTATGGGCTAAGAAAAGTAGGAAGCAACTGACACCAGCTTCTATTTAATATGGCTGCACGGATGCTATGAAGTCAGGACACAGACACCCATGGTTTGTCTTATGGTATAATTAACATCATTGCCAAAGTAATAGCATTCAAAAATCACAGTACACTGACACAGAGAATATATGACTTTGGAAGAGAAACAAAACGCCTGCTATACTTTGTTCAACTTGTCGTTTCTTAGATATTTTTAGATTTTCCAAATGTTTGTAATATTAAGGTAAACAATTTCAGTTTGTGAAAGACATTTTGTGGGGAAAGTGACCGAAAGTTACTATCTTCTAAATTCTGGCTTTTGTCTTCATGTTACTTGAAGGTAAAGGTTTTTTTCGGTGAAGAAAGATGATTGAGAATATTTAAAGTACAGCTGTGTTGTCTTTAATTGAACATAATGACAAATAAATTATTACATTAATTAAGTGATCTAGTCTATTTGATTCCTAGTGTTGAATGGAAATTTTCTCTTGGTGTGTTCTTTAACTTAAATAATCACCAATTCATTTGAATTGAGTTATTGCTTGAATACTGTACACCCCCAATAAAACAGTCAACATTTGCTTCTAAAATTAGCATACAAAGTAAATGGTTTGTTATTTCCTTGTCATGGCATTTACATTTATTCTTGGCTTTGTTTATCATCACCTTGCACTCCTCTCGCCTGGTTGTTAATGTCCTTCCTTTTCCAGGCAGTCTTTCTACTTCTATATCATATTATTCTATTACTTACTTGTCCCCAATTATCTTTTCCTTAAGACCTCTTTTTCCTTTCTCTTGCTTCTTTTCTAGTTTTGTGAGCTATACCATATCACACATACATACACACACACACACACACACACACACACATATACACACACACACACACACAGGTAGGATATGCATATGAGAGAGAACATGTAGTATTTGTATTTTTGAGCCTGCTTTGCCCCAGTTAATAGAACCATATTAGATCCACCAATTCCTAGGTTGTTTCACATAGACATTTGATTATTGAATGTTTCCAGCAAAGTCAAAATGACTAACCTGAATAACTAGGTATCTTTGAGGGTCTCTAGCCATCCTTGAAAACTCAGCAGCCAGTTCCTTGAATTTAGGCCTGCTGTCGGCATCAATCATCCAACCTGCCAATTAATGCAGAGGAAAGTATTAGTGTATCCATGCTTGGAGAATGTGATGTTGAAATTTTAGGAAATGCAAACAAAATGCCAAAGGTATTGTGTTAATAATAATCTGCAAAATCAGTGAGAGAAGCAAAACAATCATCTAAGACTAATTTAGTAAATTGTCATTCATTTTGGACTGCAATATTCTATCAAAATTAAGGAAAATTTTTAAAAATTTAGTCTAATTTTAATTATGTGTCTGTGGCCTAGGCATGTATACATGAGTGCAAGAACTCATGGACATCAGGAAAGGGTACTAGTCAGCCTGGCATGTGCACATGCATGCAGATGCTCATGGACATCAGGAAAGGGCATTGGTCAACCTGAGCTGAAGTTACAGGCAGTAGTGAGTTGCTTGATATAGGTTCTGAGATCCAAACGTGGGTCATGTACAAGAGCAACACAAGCTTTTAACTGCTGAACCTTCTCTATGAGACCCCTAATTTTTGTTTTGTTGATCCTTTACAAACTTAATCTTTGTCCTTGAAAATAGATCTCAAGGACATAGAAAATAGATCTAACTATAGAACATATTAGGACCTCAGATTCAGTTGTTCTTGTTTTGGAGTGTGGCGATAATGTTTTTAAAACATTCTTTGGTGATTATAGACAAGATAATTGAGATAGAACGTGAAGTTTTATATCAAGAATGCATGGTGGAAAATATTTGATTGTCATTATATAGTCCTGTGGCACAAATGATTGAAAGGGGGAACTGAAAGAAACTGCTTTTTGCCAATTTGTTTTCAGCTAGAAGGAAAAACACAGAATGATTACTAATGTGTGTTCAGCAACACTTATTAGCTGATCTTAATGTTGGCTTTTCCAAATTAAAAATGCTAGTTTTCAAGGAAGTAGTATTCTTTATCAGGGAGTTTACATAAGCGGACCGTAACCGCCTATACTCTGTTTAGCTGAGGAGTTGACAAGAATAATAGCACCAAGCTTTCCTTGGTTGCTTTGCCAAATGATCCCTTTCTAAAGCATACAGCCTCCAGGGAAAAGGGGGAAACGAAAGGTAAAGCTCTCAATGTGCTTTGCCTAATAAGGCAAAATGTTTGCTTGTCTTTTCATCATCACATTGCGGTATTCAAATCACATATGATACTGGTTATGGTATCAAGTTCTCATATAAGATCTGAATGTTTTTTAGCTCTCTTCAGGATATCAAGTAAACAAGGCCTGACCTAATACAGCTAGGGATTTTTCTTTTTTGTTCTTTCTTTCTTTCTTTTTTCTTTTTTTTGTGCTATGTCTAAAGAGTTACCTTTTGTTCCTGTTCTGGAAATCCTTTGAGTATCATATTATGCATCCTTTGTATCACATCTCCTAAGCTCAAACACTCTACATCTTATGGGTATTCATTTCCAAAAATGCTTGTTAATGCCAAGATGCTAATGACAAAGCTACTGGAGCCAAGAAAGGTTAACTTCACAGTGAGATATTTGTTTCTCTCCAACTAAATATTGAGTAAATAGGTCTACGCTTAGAGAAAAGGGCATGCTGACCTGCACTGCAAGGATGAGTTTTTATTTCTTCCCTTCCTGTCAGAATGGATCACACATGGCATGAATATAAATATGAGAGGACCTGGGCCCAGAGTCTCTGAGTCTCTTATTAATAAAATGCTTATTCACCTTCACCACTCTGTGTCTTTCTTTAACCCTATGTAAATCAAAGCTGGAAAACCAAAGATTATGCGAGAGAAACGACCGTCTGTTAATCTCACTTAAATTAAGTCAGAAACCCCAGAGACTTATTTAATTCTATTAAAATGAAGGATCTAGGCTTCCAAACACATTTATAAAGCACATGTGTCTGGAGTATAAGAGTGGAAAGAGAAGGAAGAACACTTGACATAAACAAATGATGAAATTGAAAAGTAAGCATTATAATCTTTGCTTCAATGCAGATTCGTCTTTTCTGGTTCTCAACCTGCTCTGCTAATTTACTTTTGATTAAATCTATAGCTAATTAATTCAGTTTTAGACTATCACTAATGTTTAGATATGTTCCCATAAATATTAACACTAATATTATTACTAACTTTCTTATAAATAATGATCTGTCTTTATGAAAATCTTTGATGGGCATGGAAATTAAAAAAAATTAGAAGAGTAAGACATGCATAGTTTTTACTTTGTAGCTTGGAAGCATGATATTACTTCATTATAATAATCACAACAAACTTGTGTTTATATTCTACATCCACAAATATTCTTGCTTCTATGTTTTTCAAAGCAAAGAAACATTTTGCAGGTAAAACAATCTAAACTGTTATTTTACTAAGAATGATCATGCAGGTGGTCAAAGTATTTTCCAGTCTTACATTTGACCATGACCATGTAAACGTCAATTGTGCAGATGGGCGGTTGAGGCAAACGCTCTCCTTTTTCTAATAAATCCGGAATTTCTCGGGTTGGAATTCCATCATAAGGTTTTCCTCCAAAGGTCATCAGTTCCCATATTGTGACACCTAATTGGAAAGAAAATTCATATATAAGCAAATTACTGTTACAATTTTACTCTTTAAAAAGCAAACATTAGAAACCCAAAGAAAACTTTGTTTCACTCGCATTAACAATTCCAATGCTAAACCCTCTAGGGGCAATTCACAGTAAGAATTTTCTAACTATTGTCTTGGAATTGTTACCAAAAATTAAAACAAGCTCCCTGTTTGTACCTACAGGTAATGCTAATGCTTACTGAAAAAAAATGTTTCAAATACACAGCAATCCAGGATACAATCCCTTTACTGTATGCATGTATTCAGTACAAAATAACTATGATTTCAGGAAAAGCCTGGCATGGGTAAATTTCTAAATGAGTCTTTTGGTGAGAAAGCCGTCTAAGGCTGAACTGGCAGTTGCAGAATGTTGCAGGTGTCTGTTGTTACTGCTAAGCCTGTGCCTCACTTCTCTGGTAACACAAAGAAAACAAGTAGAATAAGAATTTAGTTAGCACATACAGGAGTCTTCATGAGGACCAATCCATATGGAAGACAGAATATCTAGGAATGGGTATCCATAGAAATGAGAAATGAAGGAATGAAGAAAAATGGACAGCTTACTTCTAATCTAATGATATGATATTTTTGAACCACTGGAGCACTGACAGAGAAATAAAATAAAAGGCAACACTAAAAACAAAAATAGAAAATGTAGAGCTCAACAAAAATCAGTAAAAAATAAAATAAATTTAAAAGAGAACAAAAACAGCCATATTGTAAAGATTACTTCTTTACTACAATAGGTAAATTCTCTATTGCTGAGTCTAACCCATAGGCCAGAATACCTTTAAAAGAGAAACAGCTATAAGCATGGTAGTGTTATAATACGAGTCTTGATTGAGCAAATAGAGATTGATTTTAGTTTAAAATCCGTTAATTGGGGTTATATGTTTTGAATATCTCTGTAATGATTATTTATTTAAGCTGGCATATGTCAGTCACCATTGCCTGAAAACTATATCCCTCTATATACATAGATACACACATATACATACACACACATATATATGAATATACATATATATATATACTTCAAACTGCCCTGCAGAATAGAATAATTAATACTAATTAATTCTGTTAATATTTTCATTCTATAATTTTTATAGTCACATACATGTACAACTGGAGACATACTTCAGCAGATCGACTTTTCCTAAATCCTTATTTTTTATATAGAGATCAAGTTGCTCAAGAAAGCCATTGTTTACACTTCAATGGAAAGCTATCAAAATGGTGATCACTCTTTTTCAGCAAATCAATCACGGTATTATATACGCACATTTATATACATACATACAAACATATATTTATTAGCACACAGGGCACATGCATGAAGGTAACATTTTATTGAGCCCATCCTTGCTGTTGCAAAGGACTGCACCGGTATTTTTAAATGTCTATCAGATCTTCCAAAATAAGCAAAATTTAAAAATCATTACATGGCAAAACAATAAAAATATTACAAAATATAATGTTAGTTACTACAAAAACCAAAGGCTAATTTGTCCAAATTCCTGCTTCTAATAATGTAATTAAATCTTTCTGGAGTGGTGGCACCGTGAATGTTAAAAGTGAATGACTTTAAGTAAATAGAGAAATTTCAGACAGACTATATGAGAAACATAAAAACTTACATTGCAATTCCATCACCTTTAAGATATATCACAATTGATGCATATTGTGCACATAAAAATTCAACGAGTGATAATTTTCATCAGAAGGATGTTATAAACACGGATATGAGCATTCTCTGCCACTTATGCCTCTTGCAATCAGCTACGGCATATCATAATAATCTCCAGATATCTGAGGAAAATATTCTGAGACTGTGGCTGTGACCCTAAATAGCACTATGCATCTATCTGTTGATGTGCATTCAACAGCCTGCGGAATCTTGAACTCAGTGTGAAAAAAAATTATGATAGCCAGATTCACAAGATTTTTCTCTGAAAGACAAATTGTAGTAATAAAGCATAACTTTTTGACATTTGTTTGTTTGGTTTGAGGTCGTGAGCAATTTGCTAGAGGCAGATTGTCACCTTTAAATTTAGTGAGACACAAGTACGAAAGGGGAAAAAAGGCAAGTGTACATATTAATATGTAGTAGAAAAAATGAAAAATTTATATGAGATATCAATCCTCACTACCACAGACTTATCTACATCTGTAATATTTATTATATATACACGAACATACATGATAACATGCATGATAATTGACAAACATATGAGTCTATTATAAACGTGATATACTTGCTTTTTATTGACTGTTTAAAGTTGTTTAATAACTAAGCTTATTTAAACATTTGTCTTAAACATAAAGGCATTTTCTATTCACAAATTAGATTATGTGTGACCTTCTTGGAAAATTTAACACCACTTATGACATAGATATGAGAACTTTGTGTTGAGATGTCTTCGGTTTCTCTCTCATATATATATATATATATATATATATATATATATATATATATATATTCTTCCTCCCTCTCCTCACCAGGTGTACCCAAGCTCAGCCCAATGTTTGGCCATATCCATTCCTAAGTAAGTGTTGCAAGTTCTTTAATGGGTAAATAAATTAAATATTTATTTATATGAAGTGATAAAAGCCATAAATGTAAAATCAATTATACTATGCTTTTAAATTTTATGATCACTTTTAAGTTAGTTTTTCCTTCAGTTATGAGATTATATATATTATATATAATAAATATTTATAGTAAATGTTTTTTTTTACATCCTTAATGCAGCATCACCTCTTTTCTTTCATTATCTTTCCACCATCCGACCTCCCCTTCAATCTATCCCTCCTTTGTCTTAGTTCAGAAAAGGTCCCATGGATATCAGCAAAGCATGACATATCAAGATGCTTTAAGACCAAGCACCTCCCCCTGTATTCAGGCTGAGCAAGACAATTCATCAGTAAGCATAGGTTTTCAAGAGGCAGCCAAAGCACAAGGGACAGTCCCTGCCACCATTGCCAGGAGTCTCACAAATAGACCAAGTTACTCAGCTGTGTGTGTGTGTGTGTGTGTGTGTGTGTGTGTGTGTGTGTGTGTGAGAGAGAGAGAGAGAGAGAGAGAGAGAGAGAGAGAGAGAGAGAGCCAAGGTCGGTCCCATGAAGGTTCCCTGATTGTTGGTTCACACTCTATGAGATCCCATGAGCCTTGGCAGTTTCTGTGGGTTTTCTGCGATGTCCCTGGCCCGTCTGCTTCCTATAATTCTTCCTCCCTCTCCTCAGCAGGCGTACCCAAGCTCAGCCCAATGTTTGGCCATGTATCTTTGAATCTGCCTCCATCAGTCACTGAATGAAAGATGTCTGATGACAACCGGAGTAGTCACCAATTCGACTACAGGGGATGGCTAGTTCAGGCTATGCATCAATTGCTGCCAGGAGTCTTAGCTGGGGTCATCCTTGTAGATTCCCGGGAGTTTCTTTTGCATCAGACGTCTACCCGATCTACAGACTGTAAAGACTACCTTTCCTATCATCTCTCTCAGCTCTCGCCTCTTTCGCCCATTCCCCAAGCCGAGCTCTCAGGTTCCCATGCTCATCAGCTCCCAGTCCACCAAGAGGACCTCCTTTATTTCTTCTTCCCATGGAGACCTATGTGTCCCCCCTTGAGCCCTTGTTACCTATTCTGGGTCTGTGAATTGCAACGTTGTATGATAATATGTTTTTATTCAAGCAACATAAGGGGAAGGGTGTTTATTTCACCTCACAGTTTAAGGCACCTTCCATTATGGTGGGAAAGTTGAGGCAGCAGGAGCTGGAAGCAGAGGAAGCTACACCACATCCACAATCTGGAGACAGACAGGGATGGATGGATGGATGGATGGATGGATGGATGGATGGATGGATGTGCAGTGGTGCTCAGATTGTACTCTCCACTTCATACAGTGCAGAGACCTTGCCTAGGGAATGGTTGGGTCAGTCGTTGTACTTCAAATAATATAATTCCCATAGCCACGCCCAGAGGTTCACCTCCCGAGCAATTCTATGTTCTGTTAAGTTGTCACAAACCATGTCAACTCCACTCTTTATCAATTCAAAATCTGAACACATCAATTTTAAGCCGTAACTTTTCACTCTTTGTCCCTATAGCCTCCTGACGATTTTATAAAATAAAATTTATTCAGTTCAACCATAAAGTCCCAATAGTCTTTAACAATTCCAAAACTCTAAAAGTCTGAAGTTTCTTAACTGTGAGATTGTGAGCTCTTATTTAAAGAAAAAAAGAAGTTGTAAACTTCCAACATATAATAATGGCACATACTGACACAGAGTTAATCTGTTCTATCCAGAATGGAAGAAACAGGGCAAACACTGAATCCTGAAGCTCCATGTGTGGCATCTGGATGTGATAATGTAATTAACTGAGTTTCAAAGGCTTGGATAGCACCACCCCTCATAGTTTCAATTCTCCTGACTTCAGCAAACACAAATTATTTCCTGAGCTGGTTCCGTTCCATGTCTGCACCCCACACTCGTGCATGTCCCATGGTCTTGGGATCTTAGATAAGCCAGTCTCGAGAGCGGTTGTGGTTTCTCCTTCATGGCTTCACACAATGGCCTCCCTGGGACTCTAACTCTGCCGTACATATCTGGGCCTTGGCTGTTCTCCATGATCTCCTCAATTTTGTCTCCTTCATGCCTTTAAACCATACCATGTAGGTGACACTCACAAGCTCTGTCACCAGTTAAAGGTAGAACTTGGGCCTACTGAAACAGCTTTATTCACCTCTATGTGCTGACCCCAGGGAAACTTCCTTAGGAAAGTGTTCTCGAGGAACAGGGAAACCCTCCAATTTGGGCTTTCTTCCTTGAAGAAAATTTGGATCCTCTTATGTTGGAATCTCTGGTGATTGGGGATTCACTCTCAACACACTCCTTCCATTGTCCTGATGCAAGTGTCTTCATTGGTGGTACCCAGATCAGTGACAATCACAGTAGCAGCCTGAGTGTTCCCCTGTCCTAAAATTTCCTCTGCCAAATACAGCAGTCCATCATCTCTCAATTCCACTTCACTCAGTTTCTCTGAAAACAGGCAGAATAAAGACACACGAAGGGCTTCTCTCCCATTCGCTGCCCGCTTCCGCAACAGCCTTGCTGCAGGCTTCAATCATCTCCAGTTTTCTCATCATTGCTGTCCTCCAGACTCCTCCAGAATGGCCCATCAATCTCTTCTTGGAGCCTTCAAGAACCTTTCTAGCCCAGACATCCAAACTCTTCCACACTCCTCCCACAAACAACAAGAAACAAAAACAAAACAAACGAACGAACAAAAGCAGTTCCAAAGGCCTAAAACCCATGAGGTCGTGTTTTATTACAACAAAAGTCCCATTTCTTGGTACCAATTACTGTCTTTGTTTTGTTTTCCTGCTTCTCTCATAAAATAGTCAGACTGAAGAAACTTATGGAGAGAATAATTTATAGCGTGAAAATATCAACACAGCAGAAACCTGAAGCAGTTGTCCGGTCACGCGCACAATCAGGAAACAAGGAGGTATGATTGCATGGCTATTAACTCAGCTCACTTTGTCCACTTTATATAGCGTAGGATCTCTTAACTAGAGAATGATTCCACCCGCAGTGTGTAGGTCTTTCTGTCTCAATTTATGTGTTCAAGGTGGTATCCTACAGCGAGAATGATGCCTACAGCAAATCTCCCAGATGATTCCAGACACTATCAAGTTGAAAATTAACACTAACCATCACACCAGGGCTTTTATTGTTTTCCTTTTTTCTTCTTTTACATAAATTTCTTTAGTGTGTGTGTGTGTGTGTGTGTGTGCATGCGTGCGTGCGTGCGTGCGTGCGTGTGTGTGTGTGTGTGTGTGTGCTGTGTAATTGTGGGGGTCTGCACATGCCACAGGATATGAATGGAAACCCAAGGAGAACTTGAAATACTTGCTGTTCTTCTTCCACCGTGTGGGTTCTGGGGATGGAACTCAGGCCATAAGCCTTGTCAGTAAGCTCCTTTATCCTGGGAGTTGTCTTACAGACGTAGAGGCATTGCATTTTTATTACTAATTAATACTAGTTCATGTGGTATACTTAAATTCAGACAAAGCATTGATCCTTTCTAGCTAAGTTGTATGTGGATAAACATACAACTTTATGTTTATAACAACAAATTGCTAACTAGCTCACCTCAACAACTGAGTTCAACTAATGAAAAAGTGTTCAATCACAATTTAGCCTCTCTCTTTCCTACCATTCATTTAACCTTACTGTCATTCCAAAAGTATTTTGTAAGTGGAAATCAAATCTACAGTCAGCAGTGCTCTCTCTCTTCACTACTTGCACAATCACATTATTGTGTTTATTAGCCACTCATGGTTGCCACAGTAACCACTATGCTTTCTACCATGTAACATGTGTCCCTTAAGCCAAAAGACAGACAGACAAACAAAACTATGGCTTTGAATTGCTTTACCCTTTAACATTGATAACTTTCAGAGTTATATGACCAAAGAGTTGTTGAAAATTAAGGCCATGAGATTCTAAGAAATCATTTCTAACATTCCCCAGTGTTTGTGTTTGTATATTGGATGCTCAACTTACTAGACCTGGATGGAGGTGGGAGTTCCTTGGACTTCCCACAGGACAGGGAACCCTGATTGCTTTTCGGGCTGAGGGGGGGGGGGACTCAATTGGGGGAGGGGGAGGGAAATGGGAGGCGGTGGCGAGGAAGAGACAGAAATCTTTAATAAATAAATAAATTAAAAAAAAGAAAAAAAAGAATTTATCACAAAACCAAAAAAAAAAGGAGATAGATTAATCAGACAAATTGTATTAAACCGGAGTTTATAAGAGAAAACTTACATTTAGAAAAACAGAAAAAAAATCACCAAAAGATTAAGTTGTGATTTGGAGTATTTAGGTTTTTAAAGTATATACCAAAGAGTTAATTACTTTAGGGAGTCAAGCTTATTTGTAAGTGCTTCCAATAAAGCCAAAATATGACTTTATATATTTTGTATATAAATATGTATGCATGTATGTAAACATTTTTCTTTAGAAGACCAAAATTATAAAGATTTATTTACCATAGCTCCAAACATCACTTTGATGGGTGAATTTCCTATAATGTATACATTCCAGAGCCATCCATTTAATTGGCATCTATAGAAAAATAAAAAAAAGTGAATTAATAAAAACAACACAAGAAATCATTTTTATATTTTCTAAATGCTAGTTTCTGGACTGTCCTCGATTATATTTTTTGATGGTGTATGAATATAGCTATAAACCAGTTGTTTTTCATGATAGGGAACAAATAGATTGAAATTGATAAAATCTATGAAGTAAATTAACCAAAGGATATATTTTAAAGCTTCATAAACAATGAAAAGAAAATTAAACATCTGAATAGCTTTATATATTTCTTAATGTCTACTATCTAAATTATGAGCTACTATGATGACTGACAATATCATTAAGTGTACAAATGTTTCTATATTACATTTTCTCAGAAATGAGATTCCTCCCTTTTCAGTGATCCCATCTCTCCCTCAGATGTTTTTGACCACAGATGTAATGGACTTTTTTCTTCAGTTGCCCCCACTTCCTCTTCTGGTCACTAAATTGTCTAAAATCATGAATTTCATAGTTAGCTTTGCTTTGTTCCCCAGTCACAAATGATCTCCTTTGCCTGGGCTAGCCAGAATTGAAAATACGTGCGTTTTCAAAATAGGAGCTAGGAATAAAAAAGAATGCAAGAGGATCAGCACAAATCCTTCATCACTACAAGGAAAACAACTCAGCCCTCATACCCTGTGGATGACGGGTCAGCAGAATGTGTTCCAACTCAAAGGGCAGCATTATGTAGCTTGGGATATAATTAGATTCTATGGAATAAAGATAAACATTTCTACTTTGCAGTTGAAAGCTTAAAACTAAATAGGCATTTGAAATCATGAGGTTGGCTGCTCACCAAGGTGACACCAAGGTAACTCTATGACAGAATCATGGGATTCAGTGAAAAGGAACAGAAGACACATTGAAAGTAATTTCCCTGTGGGCAAGGAGTTAGCAGGCTTTATGGACTATGGACGCCGTGTTATAGAAGTAAGTTTAAATCATAGGCGGCTTGATAAAGACTTAATGGTGACCAGGCATTTAAAGCTATAATGAATCTTGCTTTGGACAATCCTTAAAGTTGTATGTTCTTAAGACAGGTGAAGTCATATGATTTATAGACTGCTATTTCTGAGAAATCTTGTCGAGAATTTCAGAGCTGTGATTTTAAGCCTCTGTAGTTTGGTAGTAAACAGACGAAATAGGCTGATAAGATCAGGGAAAGGTCAGATAATTTCTCAAAACCGAAATTTTCATATTTTATAAAATTGTGTTATTTTACTTTTTAGTAGTAGGATTTGAATAGAGACAATTGTGTAAAGGCCTAGGGTGAACGAAAGCTAAGTACTTAGAAGCCTATTATTGCAAATATTTATTTGTCATAGAAAAGTAAGGTAAATAATTAACAGACTCATACATGCAAATAACATTTCTCTTTCATAGCTTCACGGGTCACTAGAGATTAAGATTTCATGTTGTTTGTATCATTGACCTGCTCTGACGTAGATTTCCTCAGGTCACATACTAATTTCCCTAATTAATTAGCCAAGACTGAGGAGTAATCAGTTAAAGACAGACTTACAACTAAGATATGGGAGAAACTATATGATGAGGGTGGCATCCAGAAACACAGTTGTCAGACAGAGGGTTGCAAAAGGTAGCTAAAGATGTAACTGGGTTCACCTTCAATTTTAGTAGCTTAGTGTGTATTTTGTTGTACAGGCAAGGAATAAGCAATGTAGGTAAATCATTTACTATGGAATTAGTGAAATCAAAGTAACTTTACTTGGTAATTGCAAGGTATGATTTTTGGTTCTAGGGAGATTAGAAGTTAGAATGGCCAATTTTCAAATGAATTATGATTGTTACTAGTACCTAAGCTTCTCAGTACATAAGCTGTCATCCTGTAATAGTTCTGTAGTCTCAGGATCAATGGGACAGTCTTTACAGCCCTGTGTTAAAGGTTCATATCCTGAGTCTTAGGGATTATCACATAGTTGTCGTTATTAGAGATACAGAGTCATCTTTCTTTCACTATACCTACCTTGCCACCATCAGCATTGTATTCCTTTTCGTCTCCCTCCAAAAGTCGGGCTAGTCCAAAGTCTGTGATTTTCACATGATTTGGGGATTTTACTAAGACGTTGCGGGCTGCCAGATCCCGATGAACAAGCCGTCTTTCTTCCAGGTACATCATTCCCTAAAAAATAAATCAAGTTCCATAAAGAGAGTCACTTAGCATCTGATGTTCTTTGGGTTGTAAACTGGAATACTTCATTTCTCAAAGTGAGGGCAGAATCCTGGAATACATTTAAAAATTTAAAAAAATAATAAAAATTTGCTGTGGGAAGGCGGCAAACTGAAGATAAGTTTTGGGCTTTTGCCCCATACCTCCTCTAAAGAAGAATGAATGATTTGAAAATGAGTTAAATGTATGCTTGCTTTTCTCAGGAACCTGATATCCTTTTGCAAACATTTTCATTAGTGAGGCGTGCAGGTGTTTTAATAGATATTCGAACATAGACTTGAACTGACCAACAGACCCCTCATCATTTTCTTCTCTGTATTTTTTGCTTCGTGTCATCTTCCTCCTACACAGTCACTCCAGACAAGCACAGCTATCCATAACTAAAAAGCTTTCACTCAAGGGTTGATGGCACCAAAATCATTTGCATAGATTCTCTCAAGGATAAAGAATTGTATTATTTTTACTCATTATGCACAGAATAAAGGATACCCTAGGGGTCCATGAGAGTCCAATTTTAAATAAAAGGGTTCTATGACATTAGTTGTTATCATAAGAACTCACAAAGGAGAGAACATAGTTTATAATGACCTACAAATTAGCCTTTAATATGTTATCTTCTTAAAACCATGCAGGGAAATTACAAATAAAATTTATTGCTGATTGCTCTCATGAGGTGGGGTGGTGGGAAAGAAAGCTTGTTAATTTTTAATCATACAAAAATATTAATATATATATATATATATATATATAAATTTATAAGAATGTTGATCCACACAAATAATAACTTGTTTATTGTTATATTTCAGCAAGCAGGTAGATAAGTGTTGTTACACCTTACATACCAAGGAAAGAAATCTCGGGCCTAGATTAGGTAAGAGTGAACATGTTGTTTTACTGAGGAATGTGAATGAACTATATATTTGATTTTTTTCAGCTGTAAAATATGGTCATTCAAAAGCATATCAGAATTATAATAAAAGGACTGAAGCACATTCTCATTCCAATTACAAATCATTGCTGTTGGCAGTTAGCATTACACCTGCACGGCTCTGAAGGATTAATGGTTTCTGATATCAAAACAAAGCTGTGGAAAACAGACACATAAATCATATAGGTCAAAACATTATGAACTATAGACCTGGTGTAGTGTAAAGAGAAGATTGCTTCACACAGCTCCAGGAGCCAGCATCCACTGAAATGCCCATCAAATACAACTGGTGGAGATACCGTCTGATATGGTCCAATCAGTCAACAGCTAGGTGACATGGCATTTACTCATGCTTTCTGAGATCAACTCACAAATAGTATTTATGGGATTTTTGCCCTCTTTCCTAAATAGTACTGTTTTAGGACATAAGGTAGGATATTCCAAAAATAAGGCAAATACGAGAACAAGCGGTCCTTTGGGTCTTAAAGGATCAGAATTAAATAAGCTTATTGCCGTGGAGACGACATATTTTTTCAGCCTTCCAAATAATTCTGTCCTTTTAAATGTTCATTAAAAAAACATCCTTTTCTTTATTCCTCCCCACAGATCAGCACATAAGAAACATTTTATCAGTATACTGATGCATAGGTCTACATGTACATGCAGCACACATTGTGTTCTGCATACTGTGTTAGATACTGGAGAGGTGAAAAAAAGAATCAAATAAGGTCCATACAATAAAAGATGAAAAGGTGAATTACTAAAGTGGGAGAAATAAATAGTAACTGACGCATATGGGAAAGAACATATAGGGCTCCGAAGAGAAGCTACATCCTGAGAATGAGTCTGACAAGTAGACATGAGGGGAGAGAACTGAGAGAGGTCCCCAAGCAGGCTAAGGCTTGGAGAGAAAGAGTGTGGCAAAGTGAACAAATAATTAAGACTAATTAACATGTGCACTTGGCCAAAGGCATGCCATTCTGTATGTCTGAAGAATGACACACGGGGAGGGGATTGGTGAGCAGTGAGACTAGCAGTAAGAAGAGATCCAAGAAACGCACGCATGTGTCATGGACTTCTTGTGAATTTTGATTTCTGTATTTTACAGTCTACACTGCCCATGATCAGAAAGTCATCTTTTAAAGGGGATGGCTGTCCAAATTTTACTGCACTCCTGGAAGTATCATTCTGGTGCCAATACAGGAAATGGATTTGGACTGTACACAAATGGAGCCCACGGTAGGAATCATTGCCATGATATGCAAGCTGGAAATGAGAGCCGTGAATTCATAGTTCCTAAGTTTTACCCATTTCCATTTGCTTTCTTAGTTCCACATAGGTAAGGGTTATTCATTATATCTGAACAACAGTTATGCCGTGCTAAGGATACCTGACCTCCAGTTATTTCAGATCCTACCATACTCAGTTCCCTCTGTCTTTCATTTCTCTGGATCCTACATACCTAAATGACTGATTCGTCTACTGAATGAGGCTGAAGGATTACCAAGAAGAGGGTAATTTCAAGGCATAGTTACAGACTAAGAGGTTCATCCTTGGAAACTGAGTCATGGAAAGGAGAGTGATTTTGGTTATTTTATGTATGTACATGACAATTATTTCAACTAAAATACAAATGGAAATAGATTTTATAATTCTTATAGGACCTTTTAGGTTTATTTAGTTTGTCCAATTGTGTAAAATTTTTGCCAGCAAGTATATTTGTGCTACAAATACATGCAGTGGAAAAGGAGACACACACACACACACACACATACACACACACGTACAATTAGCAATGAGCGACACATTAAAATCAGCAATTGTGTGAATATTTTTGGTTCTTCCTAATTCATATGTTGAAACTCTAAACTCTGAAAGTTATGGTACTAAGATGGCTTCAGTGATGATTAGGTGATAAAGAAGGAGACTTTGGGAAACTAAGCACCCCTATAAAAGAGACCCTAGAGAGATCCCTTCTCTTCTCTGAGTGCAATCATGGTGACTATGGTTAGGATTAGGAAGCAGGTCAGTGGGACCAAATTTGTTTGCCAGCCATGAGTACCATCAAATTTCCATTATACATAAATCACTTGATTTGTAATATTTTGTTATAGCAGTCGGATAGAATAAATGCCTTTAATTTTAAAGATTAATTTCATTTTTAATTATGATATGTGCATGGATATGTGCACACAAGTGCAGCTGCCCATGGATGTCAGAAGGGGGCAACAGATCTCCTAGAGTTGGAGTTATAGTTGGTTATGAATTGCTGTATGCAGGTGCTGGCAATTGACCTGTAGTCTTTTGTAAGAGCAGTTTACATCTTTAACTGCTGAGACACACTTTTAACCCCTTAGACACTTTTAAAATTGACACATTCTGCAATTCAGAGAAAAGTTCAAAGTTCTAAATGTTCTTTCACTTTCTCCATTAAAAAATTCACCAGATAGCAGAGTATCTTGAATATTACTACCACTTGTGAAGAAAACAATCAAAATATTGAGAACTCCATTCAGTAAACCAACTGACAATGTATATAATTTTCTCCACTCTGTCATCTCGACCAAAGTAGTACTATTAATAACAGAAGCATAGGTCCTTACTACATTATCAAGATACATTTGTATGGTTTCTTTTTCACTCCAAGGCACCATTGTGCAGGCATTTCTAAGTCATTAGGTATGCCTCCACCTTCATCACACTTTCACGCCCAGAATTAGAGTGTTGAATTGTCTTCGCATTGCTTATAAAAGGTTTTCTACAATACAGTCATTAAGATAGGAGTTTTTTCTGACTTGAAGAACTCATTAGAGTCAAAATTTCAGTTAAATTCTTTCAAAATAATATTATTCTTTGAATTAGCAGGGTGCAGCTAAGACGACAGACAATTATTAGAAGTAATTGTGACAAAAATGAGCTGTCTGAAGTCCCTGGAAGTGGGAGATGAGAAGTTTGTTCACTACAAGAGGACACAACACTGGCTGGAAAGGAAACCTGGTTCTCTGCTTTGAGGTTTTTGTCATGATCCAGGCTGACCAAGTCTGGACAGAGCGTGATGAGAACTTCCACATCACAGTTCTTATTAACTCAGCAGACTTTGGACACAGTGGGTGCTAAATAAAACAGTTCTACATCTGTGGGGCAACCTAACTCTGTGAAGTATGCCCCATTTTTCTTCTACTATAAATATGAGAAAGCCAAGATTACCTGAAGTCACGTCACGTGGTGCAAGTGATCTGACTAGTGAGCAAGAGATAGAAGGATTTGATCTCTTTCTACTAGGATTCTAAAACCTATGGTTTTAAATTTGGGCACACAAAAATTAACAAACATAGGTAAGACTTACTGCTTCATAAAACATACTTTTGCAGAAAAAATATTATTAACTATTTATGTGAATTTCTGGGCACAATGGAGTTGATTGACTTTTTAAGAAAAAGTATATTTAATATTAACTAAATCATAAAGTTGCTTATAATTTAGTCACTTTTTGAGTTTTTCAGTTTGTTTAGGCCACATGGTATAGAAAATGGAGAATTGGGTAGATTATATATTCTAAAGGCAATTTTCTGGTACAAACCCCAACCCTACAAAGTTCTAGATGTGATCTGGGAAAGTTGTTTAACCTCTCCCTCTATCATCTTGCCTCTCCTTTTAAAAGAGCCACAACAGCATCTACTTGCCCGCTTATTGTGGAGATTAAGTACAACATAAAACCCTTAGTAAGTAGTTTATAGTAACTGTAGAATTAGCAAACTTTCTCCCGTGTTCTGCAGATAAATATCGACAATCCTCAATTAGACAAACATTGCTCTAAGTAAGTTCCCCTGTCCCTTTAAAAAAATGCATAAACCACAGCATTCAAAGAACATTTGCAGTGCTACAGTACCTAAAACTATTTCAGAATTATTACTACTCAAAGTCTCATTTTAATAATGATTCACCCTCAATGTTATGTACAGATAAAAATTATCTAGGGAATATACTGAAAATTTGGTGTTCTTCATAAATATATCACAGTGTT